TTTTCTCCATCAATTTTGAACAGAAAAGGACAATAAAATCATTTATTTTTGTAACCAATTTTGCATTAAATCCCTTGATTAGGTTGTCATTTTTTACATACTCCGTAATATATTATTCAACGCGATCTTCAATTTAACAAAAGTGTTCATTTTTCTAAATATATAGACAGTTTTCAATTTTCTCGTTTAGCACACTCGATAGTATTGAAATTCATATAGTACTCCTCAGTCCAATTCAACTCAAAATTATGGATTCTTCTCTTCTATTTGTTGATCAGTTAGTGGCGGGGCTCTTAGGCGTGGAATCGGGGCAAGATGCGGTCCTAAGGACATTATTATACCAACGCAGAAAGGAACAAGTCGTACCGTACGGAATAACGGTGGCGGAATTCACCGAACACATTTCGAGGTTGAGGAACAAGCTAGGCAAAGAAGGGTTGAAAGATGAAGGTTTGATCGTGAAACCAACCATTGGTCCAGAAGGGAAGACTTCCGGCAACATTCTCGCCGGAGATAGCCACTCACTAGCCTACGACCGGTCGCCTGAGGAGATATTGAGAATTGTTTATGGGAGTGAGAAGGAAAACAGGCCGGGTGGTTTTTACCCCAAAGGAGCGCATGGTAGAATTGCTGAATCTCATCTTGATGTTGTTTCACCAACTGATTAATTAATTAGTTACAAAACTTGCATTGTAATTGTAGTACCCAGTAGTTAACTACTACGTAGTTACTACGAAGTAGAAACAGTACACCAACGAACACATCATGGAAAAAGGAATAATATTAAGCATCACTTTATTTTTGTTAGTGTATTATTATAATATATGAATGTTACTTAATTAGGATGTTTTTACTTGAATTGGATTTTGCTGGTGTGATCTGATCCGGTCTGTTAAATGTCTGGTCTCTGTGTATTTTATAACTATGGAAGTTCGGTTTGTTTAAGTCTGGTCTGATCTAGTCTGGTTTCTTAAAGTCTGATCTGGTCTGGGACTGATAACAGTTCAAGTAAAAACATCTTTAATAATGTCATCTGAGACACACATACAAGGCATTCGTTAAATGTAGTAAGTTAGATGTTTGTAAGTTGCTTTAGATGTATATATACTACTAGCGTGGTAGTGCGCGTTGCGCGCAATCTGTGCGCGACGCTAGGAAACAAGCAAAAAATGGCAAAAAACAGTTTCAAACATAAAGAGAAAACAACAATTGATGCATCCAAGTATATGCCCTTATGTTTCTACTTCCAGTCTTCCAGACCTAAGCAGGTGTGTCATCTTAACCATTCACTTTATGGGCTTCGTCAGGCACCCAGGTGTTGGTTTGACCAGCTGAGTGCTTCTCTTATTTCTTATGGATTTAGTCGCTCTTATGCTGATTATTCTTTATTTACATTGCATAAAGGAGATGATTTTCTTTGTGTTCTTGTTTATGTTGATGATATACTAATTGCTCGGACGAGCTCTTCACTTATTAATGAATTTAAGGCCTATCTTGGTTGTTGTTTTCCTATCAAAGATCTTCGTCGTTTGAAGTATTTTTTTAGGCCTTGAAGTTGCTAGAAGTCCAACGTACTGGCATATTTTTATGTCAACGTAAGTACACTCTTGACCTTCTTGATGAAATGGGACTGTCTTGTACTAAACCCATGAATTTTCCTATGGAACAAAACCAAAGCTTGGCGATTTTCATTAGTCCCCTATTTTCTCATCCGGAGAGATATCGTCGGGTCATTGGAAAATTAATTTATTTAACTTTGACTCGCCCAGAACTAAGTTATAGTGTCCATATTCTTGCTCAATTCATGCAAAATCCGCGTACGAATCACTGGGACGCAATAATTGGTGTACTTCGCTACCTCAAAGGCAGCCTCAGTCAAGGGATTTTACTTCGGGCTGATTCAGATTTGCGTCCATGGTTATTGTGATTCTGATTGGGCTGCTTACCCCATAAGTCGTCAGTCTCTTAGGAGTCTTCTTAGCTCTCTTGGGATTTCACATCGTTTTCTTATGACAGTTTTATGTGACAATCAAGCTGCTCTTCATATCGCTTCTAATCCTATTTTGCATGAGCGTACAAAACATATCGAGCTTGATTATCATTTTATTCGGGATCTCATACAACGAGGCACTATTACTACTCACCCTATGGGGTCAACCCATCAACTTGCCGATATTCTTACTAAGCCACTTGGTGCTCAACAGTTTCATTTCTTCTTTCCAAGTTGGGCGTCTCTAATCCCTCCGCTCCAACTTGAGGGGGGGGGGGGGGGGGTTCGGACATATTTCCATGTGTACATATATGTTGCCATAAATAGTATTATACATTTAAATCAACAATCATTATGTATATTTATTTACCTGTATTATTAGTTTGATTCTTTAATATTGAGTTAGTATGAGCAAAAGTTAAAAAGTGTCTCAGATGGTCTCCATTGTGCACCACATTGATTGAAATGTGAGTTTTCTCGCGTTCTCACATTAGGCACCATTCTCAATGCAATCATATATATATATATATATATATATATATATATATATAGATTTAGGTTCATGTGAGAACTTAATCTTAGGAGAGTAAAAAAGAATAGATGTGAGCCATTGGATTAACACAATTATTTTAATCAATTAGATGCTCCGTATAAGGTCACTATAGTAATTCCAATGCCTTCCCATAACCGACACCCTTTAATTTAGGAAGTGATAATATTGCTTCCATTAGGTTTTTCCTTGTCATATCTGGTTTTATTCTTCATCTCCGTCTCATCTGTTCGATTTGGTGAAAAGACTGAAAGAAACTCATATCAAAATATCATGAATATCTTAGGGTAGAGCCGTAGAGGATCCATTGGGGATGGGTCGTTGTTAGTATGGTTCCATTGAAACTCTACCAAGATAATCGTGTTCATGTTTTACGAATCAAAACATAATACATAATTTAAACAGAGTCCAGAAACATGATGTGGCACAGCATCGATCTATCTACCAGCTCCCTCCGGAATCTTCGTTTGCTATTTAATCTAGTTTGTGATTTGCTTTAAAAATGTTTATATATATTTACTCTTCCTACGAATCAAAATGACAAAATATTGGTTGATCAACTTTTCTTATGATTCATTCTTATTCATTAATGTTCTGGCAGATTTTAGTGCTTATAATGGTCCACTGTTTGTGATTTCAGGAATATTTAAAATGCTAGTTGTTGAATTAGATGCAATAATAAATATTTCCTATTGCACTTTTAAATATTGTTGTTGCACATTTTTTGGTTTGTAGTTTGCACTAATGTAATTTTCGTGTGTAGATTTGCACTAATAATTAGTGCATCTACATTGTCATGTAATGCATTTTACATGTTTATTATGAAATACATACATGATAGCCATCGTTTTTAGATAATAATAGTAAGTTTTCAGTTAAACTTTTGACGCACTTAGCTTACTTTGCTCTTGCACTTTTCATTAATTAGTTTTTAATTTTATTCTGTTGTTAATACAGGTGAAATTGGAAGGGGACATCATATAATATGGAACAAGTATGATGCTTTTGGAAGAAAAGTGCAGTTCATAATGTTAGAAGTGCAGATATGGAAATTTAGAAAGTGTAATATATAGTAGTGAACTTTTTAGATATTTGAAATGCACATGATAAAAGTGCATTTTATTTTGTAAAAGAGTGCCAATATATAGTTATTCATGAAGCATAATATAATAATGCATTTTTGTATATATCTAAAAAATGCGCTTTAATATTTATATTCATTTTTAAAACATGTATGGATGTGCACAACATGTGTAGAGTGTAGATTAAAAAGTCCAAACCAAAAACATAAAATCTCAGTTTATATCAATGCAAATTAACTGAATGAACATCTCATTTCTCTTGAGATCGAAAAATATCCAAATACTTGATTAAATTGATGTTGCATTATATTCCAAATAAAAGTGTATTTATTCAATGTGAGAGTGCAAATATACAAAATTAGATGGATGAAGTACTATATCTAAGAAGATGAACAAAGTGCACATTGGATTATCATAAATGCACTTCTAAACCACACATGTGTAAATATTTAAATGAACTGATGTGCATAAAGTTTCAAATAAAGTGCATCTATTCAATGTTGGAATGCAAAGCATAAATTAATGTTGATTCCATTAAAGAATATTACATTTGAAAATTGATATATGAATTATAAAAGAGTTTCTATTCAAAATTATAATCTAAAACGATACTACGTATGTCATAGGATCCTAAATTTGGAAATAAATTCAAATAGGAGAAAGTATATATTATAATAAATAATCTTAGCTATGAGAGAGGTTACTTTGTACGAATTAATAGGATGACTTCCTATTATGGTGCATCATGCGTGATTTCCATCATGAACAATTTTACCATGATACCCTTAATAAATATTAGGTTTAATTGAATCCGTTTTAGATGGTTATTCCACCGTAAATCATGGATATCGTTGGCCTAATTTCCGAAGCTTTTTGGCCACCGGATTGAGATGATCAATGGTTGAATTTTAATCTTTTTTACTCTCCTAAGAGGGTGTTCTCACAGGAACCCTCCCCTATATATATATATATAAATATATATATATATATATATATATATATATATATATATATATATATATATATATATATATATATATAGGGAAGAGATCACATACAAACACTTCTCCCCATACAAAATGCAAATCAATTTCGTGCGTCCGATTTAGGCAAATCAATGGCCGAAACCAGTTTCCTCACTGTTACCTGTCGTGAGCCGCGAAGGAGGAGACCGGGTATTTTAAAACCCGTTTAGTAATTAAAGGATAAAGATGTCATTTGATTTTTTTTAAATGGAACCGCCATAATACGGAAAAGGAAGGAAATCCCTCTTGCGCATAATCCCCACTTAGATTCGAACCGCCCATGTATAGCAAATCAGAAAAAGGAAAGATGCAGAGGTTTTTTAATGCTCCAACTAACAAAGGTCTGAGAAGCTGGAAAATTTCCTTGAGAGCGGCGAAAGCTTCAGCGTAGACGAAGAACGTCGTTTGTGAAGAATAACGACCGGTGAAATTCCATTTGCGCAAATGGCTTCAGTTCAAGAAGAACATGCTTTGCGACAAGCCGCTTTGGCGTGCGAAGAAGGTATTTGTGTTGTTTTGATTAATCTGTTTGCATGGAGAATTTTGTATGTTAGATGCACAAAGAGGGATGTGTGGATGCATTTGTGTTTTTGAAGTTGAGGGAAAAATGCATTTTGCACCGAGAATGTTTGTTTGTGTGTTCGTGGTTGGTGAGTGTTACTGATTAGATTAAGTATTGTGAAAAATAGATTACATAAAGGTGCAATAGATTAGAGTAATGTTAGTATCAATGTTGGTTTTTGAGTTCGTGTTTGGTGAGTTAGTATCCTGATTATACAAAATTTTGTTATTGGTGCAAAAGGGATTAGCTATTGGTGCAAAAGGGATTAGCTATTGGTGCAATTTAATTGATATGGTATGCAGACTAAGATTCGTGGGGTGCAGTGGAGGCAACCTAAAAGTAATCAATGGTGCTAGTGAAGATTATATGTGTATAGCTTGGGGCAAAATAGCTTAGCTAAAGGTGCAATTGACTTGTGTTTGAGGAAGTTGTGTATGCAGGTTAAAATGCATATAAAAAAATGGTTGGGTGTGGATGAAAAAACTTAGAAATTACTTAGATTCAATTTTTATGGTGCAAAAGACATTACGTAAAGCTGCAATTGAACTGTGAAATAAATGCAGACTGGGTTTGTTTTCAAATGCTTATTCATTTTTTGGGTCATGGAATTAATATGCAGATGAAGATTGGTTGTTATGCAAAGAGAGACGTTAGGTGCATTTGGAATTGTTTTTAGGTGCATATTTTGTTGATAAACATTCATGAGATTTCTGATATCTTAGTGAAGTACTTAAGATTCATGAGATTTTGAATATGTTCATGATTGCATTATGTGTGGCATATCATTAATGGTATTGTTTTTTTTCAACAAGGAGTTAACATGCACATGAATGTATTTTGGTGTGCATATGAATGACAGTGTACTAACTAATCTAACTAACTAAGTAGGAACTGGACAAAACCACCAAACAGTTCTACAAAAGAGAAAGAAAGCAGCACCATGTGGGAGTAGTATTGCAAAGAAAAAGAGGGTGATTAATAAGGGGATTCAAGTGCAAGTGCAGCCTGATGGTTAGTAAATTTATACTTTCATTGTTTCATTTGTTTGAACTACTGAAATTGAGATACGATTGAAATTTTAGGAGACAAGATTACTGGGCTCATGCAGTTCCGTTCTAAACTTGAGAAACAAAAGACTTTGAGCATGCAGCGACAGGAAATTAGGAGCAAATCAAGACATGACTTCCAAGGTTAAAAATAGTAAATATTGATTGTATTGAATATTTTATGGTGTATGAATGACAAAAAATTATCCTCAAATGCAGGTGCATTTATAGAAGACAATTTAGGACTTGAGTTGATGGAAAAAGAAGTAGAGAGAAGGTTGAAAAAGGAAAATGAAAAAGTTGCTGCATCCAAGAAATCCAGGAGCATATCAAGAGGCCAATTGAAAGGTTTGATTACAACCAAGTTTCTTTCGTAGATGTGAACTGTTAAGGGGTGCAAATACATATATTATGCAGTGCATATGATTAAGGGGTGCAAACAGATTATTAAAATGGTGTGCTAATTCATTTAATTCAATTTTAAATGAAATGCTCTTTTCAATGTGCAGGATCTAAGGCTGCTCGTGGAAAGAGAAGCACTGGTCAAGAAAGTGGTGAAAGAAGGAGGAGTGGAAGGATAAACAAGGAGACAGAAGTGTGCAATGAAAACGTTAATGATGTGGTGGTGCCTGATACCGAAGATGGCAGTGAGGCAGACATTCATGAATGTGAGGAAGCTGGCAGTGATGAAGATTTTGTGAATTTACCAAAACAAGTGGTGAGAAAGGAAAAAGAGCGTGCGGGCAGACCAAAGAAGAAGGAGAAGCGGGCTGTTGTGAATGACTTGAAGGTTCAGTACCACAGCCTCTACACTAGATCATCACCGAATGTGGTGATGAATGCTATTTCGAAATTGAGTCACAAACAGCGAGAACAAGTGCGTGAAGTTGGATTTGGGGCTTTGTTAGACCTAGGAATCAGAGAGTTGCCGTCTAAGCTTGGTTATTGGATTGTGGACAACTTTGACCCAATTAGTTGTTCACTGAAGTTAGGTAAAGGTAGGAAAATTCACATCACAGAAGAAGATGTGGAGCTGGTTTTGGGATTTCCACGCGGTGACAAAGCAGTGTTAAAAAGGGGGAAAGGAGATAAAAGCGAAATGCTGGATGAGTGGAGGGCTTCTTTCGGAGGAAAGGATAAAGTTTTGCCAATAGAGGTGGTGCGTGAAATACTAAGATGTGAGGAAGGTGGAGAATGCTTTGTGCGAAACTTCATAATTCTCGTTATATCGACCTTGATAGAGAATACAAGGAACGGATATATAAACTGCTCCTTCATAAACAATTTGAAGGACACAAAAGGAATCAAAGATTTAAATTGGTGTGAATATGTGATAAAGGCTCTAATTGAGAAGAAAAGAGAATGGGCTAAGGGAAAGGAAAAGGCATTCACTGGTCCGCTCCTTTTCTTGATGGTGAGTACATTGTATTTTAATATGTTTAGGTAGTTCAATGTGCAGTTTGTGTGGTATTTAGGTAGGGTACAGTTTTATAAAAGGTGTGGTGCATGTATTATGTGATTATGCATATTAACGTAGTTGAATATGCACTTTTGTAGAAGGTGAGGTGCATTACTTTAAGATTGAGAATTAAGACAGATGAATTATTGATTTTTTGATGAATTGGAGTTACTGAAAGTGCATTTCGAGTTACTGAAAGTGCATTTCGAGTTACTGAAAGTGCATTTTAATGCAATATTAAGTAAAACTTGTGTGATGGAAAACTAATATGCAAAATGGTTAACCTAAAGATGCAAATCAATGTTCACTGTGCAAACATTATGTGATTGTGCATTTTATGGTAATTGAATATGCAGTTTTATAAAATGTGTGGTGCATTAATTTAAGATTTGTTCATAATACTGATGTATTAGTGATTGAGTTATATATATTGGAGCTTCTGAGAGTGCATTTACAGTTAGGTGAAATGGAGGTGGTAAGGCAATAAGAAGTTATTTGTGTGTGATTGAAAACAATGTGCAAAACAGTTGGTTTTAAACTGCAAATAGAATATACATATGAATACCGTTGATAAAGTTAAAGTAATTCTTCATTTTTTTGTAGGTGTTGTATGTGGATAGGGTGGAAGTATATAGAAGAAGTGTGCCTAGGAAGGTTCCCGCTATAATGGGATGGAGCACACAGTTATTGAGGGAGAGGGAATCTGAAGAAGTTGAGGCTGGAGGATTTGGGTTAGGGTATGTAGATGAGAAGATGACAATGAACCAAGGGACGGGGAAAACTGTCACCGCAGAAGAGAGAACCGAGGATGTGGGACAGCCCTCGACGACAACGGGTGCAGAAGAGGTATAGTAAATTATGACATATATGTGCTTGCAGGAGACTACATGTCTGGTCCACTTATTTTTATACCTTGCATGGTTATGAATTAGTGAATGTGCAGAATTGTTTGATTCTTTAAGAGGAATGTTATTAAAGAACCATTTGTCTACCTTGTTTCAAGATTGTTGTATCTAAGTTAGCAAATGCCTAATTTTTTTTTTTTGCAAATGACAGGACGTTATGCAACGCTTTGCTAATAAGACCAGCTTATTTGTTAAGACAACGACTGACATCATGAATATGTTAGATGCATCTCCCGATGTACTTCGTGGCAGTGAAGAGTTGAAAGAGTTGGGGCAAGCGGCGAATATGCTCATGGCTGTTTTACAGAAGAAAAATTCTCCGGATTTTGCCACACCTACACAGATGGACAGGGAGATGGAGGTGTTTTGGTCAAACCCAGTCAACCTTGAAATATTGGCTGAAGCTGAGGTGGACGGTATAAAGAGAACAAAGGTTCTTCAAAGGAGGAAAGATATGCCAAACTTTAGTATAGGTCTGACACAAGACGATCCCCCAAATGAAGTAAGCGGTGATGCTCTGATGGGGTTCGAGAAGAACAATATAAATGAAAAGGGGAAGGGAAAAGCCGATGCAAGTGTGCAGATGCCTTTAAATGAGCAAATGGTAGCAGTTGGTGGTCAATCAAGCTCAAATATTAATCATGTGCTGGATATCAGAAAGGTAATTACAGAAACTACAAAAATCAGTGATTAGAATTGAAAATTTAGCAGTAGTATTTATGTAATTTTTTTAAAACATTGATGCCAACAGGACATTGAAGAGACAGAAGAATTGGGCCAGCTAAGAAGAAAACAAACGGCTGCAGCAACCCAGAAATCACCCTACGTAAGAAGAGTTATTGATCTAAGTGCTGCAATAACGAAAGATGAACGCGCCATGAGTGATTGGATACTTCTAGACGTAGCTGGAGATGGGTAAGTGCACTGTGAATTACAAAATTCATTTCAACTTTAAACATGGGGATGATAAAATTGAATGCAACTGATTTTTTATTGCATGCAACCTCTATAGGAATGAGGTTATTTTCAAAGCCCTTGACCAATTGCAGCTTACCCGCGGGCAACTGATGAGCATCAAGGATGGTCGACACATCGAGGAAAGTGTAATCAATACCTGGGCATTCATTCTTAACTGTAAAGAGACAGTTAGAAGCAGTGAGTCTACAAGTAGATTATTTGCTAAAGTCTTGCCTTGTGTAAGTACAAATGCACGAAAAAATATGTTTTGTTTATGTATTTTTAAATTGTATTTTGAACACAATGTATAAAAAAGACAGTGTGATTTAACTACTTTGGAACTGTGTTGTGTAGCTTGACACACAGGCGGACCTAGGATTGAATGAAGACCGTGCTTACACACTTTTTGTGGAAGCCATTGAGTTTGGGTTGGAGGCAATTAAAGAGCACACTGCACTTTCAAAAGTTGATTTGGTATGCGGTTTTAATGAAATATAATGCATTGCTATTAAATTGTAAATTCTAAAAAATGGGTATTTTGGTGCAGTTCTTCTTCCCGATAATGCAAGTGCATCACTGCTATGTAATTTGTCTGAATACTAAGCTGAAGCGTGTGGATATCATTGACAGTTCATCAGCTAGCGTACGCAAATTTGATAAATACGGGGAAATGCCTCAAAACGTGGTATGAAATAAAATTATGTAACTAGTACTTGTGGTAAGGTGCATTGTCGTTCTAATTTTGTAAGTGATAAATGAAAATTACAAGGCTAAGCAAAACTTTGTGCAGATAAATATGTTTGTGAAGTACATGGATTCAAGGAATCTGATGACCAAATCTGATAAAGTGAGGAAGGCAACACCGAAGAGGCTAGGAATGGAGTGGAGGCAGACGAAGAACATTTATGACTATGGCATCTTCACAATGCGGCATATGGAGACATATCAAGGTCAAGGCTTGCAAGGATGGAATATTGGGCTAAAGGAAACCGACACCAAGCTGGTAGGGACGTTACGCGTGAAGTACATTTCTGCAATTCTACTGAATGAGAAGAATGACTACATGCATTCAAACTTGCTGAAGGCAAAGAATTTTCTCAAGAAAGCTAAAGAAGAGAATGAAAAGGTGGGAGAGAAGAAGAAGGGAGCAGCGCCCAATTAATCAATTCAGCGAAATTTGAAGTTGACATCAGTTTGACTATATTAAAATTACAGTTTACAATGACTTATTCACATTATTTTTAATAAAAAACATATTTATGCTTACTATTTGTGTGTGAAAGTTGACGTTGAATATAGTTGGTTTTAATATATGTTCCAGGTTCACATGAGTTTATTTTAATTGGATTTATGCTTGTATTTAATTTAATTTAAATTGAAGTATGCTTGGTTTAAAGTTAATTTAATTTAAATTGAATTATAGCTTGGATTCCAGGTTCCGGAATAATATTTGTGTGTGAGAGTTGACGTTGATTGTACTTGGTTTTAATATATGTTCCAAGTTTACATGAGTTTATTTTATTTGGATTTGTGCTTGTAGTTAATTTAATTTAAATTGCATAACAGCCTATATTTCGAAATGGTAATTACTTTTGCATGGGATACATTTTGTCCATGTACAGAATACAAAGTAATTTACAATGAAGCTTTGTAAATGCATTGTGTACTTGAAAAAACTTAGAAATAACTTAGATTCAATTTTTATGGTGCAAAAGACATTACGTAAAGCTGCAATTGAACTGTGAAATAAATGCAGACTGGGTTTGTTTTCAAATGCTTATTCATTTTTTGGGTCATGGAATTAATATGCAGATGAAGACTGGGTTAGGTGCATTTGGAATTGCTTTTAGGTGCATATATTGTTGGTAAACATGCATGTGATTTCTGATATCTTAGTGAAGTACTTAAGATGCAGATGAGTGTAGTGGAATATGTATCATGTGTTTGAATTAAGCAATGGGTGTATTTGAATATGTTCATGATTGCATTATGTGTGGCATATCATTAATGATATTGTTGTTTTTTCAACAAGGGGTTAAGATGCACATGAATGTATTTTGGTGTGCATATGAATGACAGTGTACTAACTAATCTAACTACCTAAGTAGGAACTGGATTTACATGAGTTTATTTTATTTGGATTTATGCTTGTAGTTACTTTAATTTAAATTGCATAACAACCTATATTTCGAAATGGTAATTACTTTTGCATGGGATACGTTTTGTCCAATGTACATAATACAAAGTAATTTATAATGAAGCTTTGTAAATGCATGGTGCATTTGACATCATTCTCGTGTGCATTTGACAATATATTCATGCATTGATGGTTTTAATTACTTACTCAACAAATGTCATTACTTTTGTTTAAAAAAACCACCTGACAATATGTGACATTCTGTCATTAAATTTGTGTAAAAACTTACCTATGATTTTTTAAAAAAATGTCTGGCGAATTTGTTGTTTAAAAAATTGTTAGAAAAGAAATGAAGACTGCACCAATGATCATAACTTCAAAACACGCATGTGGGACTCATACAATTTCTAAATTTCTAAACTTCAAGACTGCACAATAGTGTAGAAGTACAGGGTGCATATAAGTGAATACGAATATGCATACAAATATTGTGTATAAAGCAGCAAAGATATTAACGAGGTGGATACTTTATAAAAAAAGATTCATCAAAAATAATTTGTCGACAGTTTACATCCACTGGGAAAAAAAACAAAGATAATCCATTAAGCAATAAAAACCATGATCTTAAACAATACTAGCTATTTATTCAACGGACAATTCCGGCTATCATGATGGCACATCTCATTGCATGAACGGCAAAGTCTCTTGGGACGTTTAGATTCTTGGATAGAAACCTCTTTCGAAGACTTGATCCTACGTCCTGAACCTTTATTCTTCGCTTGTTGTGGAGGATGAACTGTGACGACAGAAGGCGCAGCGGAACCATAAAAGGACTCAAATACCGACTGCTTCGTTGATGACTGTGCAACCCCACTCTGAAGGGAAAGAAGAATCTCTTTTTGATCTTTAATAATGCTTGAAAACTGCTGCAAGTAACTTGGGTTATTTTCAACGAGAGCCATGCATGCATATATATCAGACCATAAAGAGTTCACACCCATCTTATTCTCCTCTAGCGTGATGCATTGCTGAAATACAGAATCAGAGATTTCGGACAACGGTTTGATTAAACCCTTCTTACACCAACGGGTATTAATAAAATGTTCTGGAATCTGTTCAACTTTCGAGTCCTTTAAGACAAGAAAGATGTGACGACAAACCAAACCAATCCGCTGGAAGAATTTGCAACTGCACTCCGCCTTCATATCAGACATTTGAAAATGAACTTTAAACTCCAAATTCCTTTCGTCACAAATCCGATAGTCAAAAACACCATCACGGCCATCCACATGTATGACACGACATGCAAAACACGCTGAAGATAATTCCACTTGCAGGTCATAGAAAACGGAACGCGTGAAAACATCTGTGGCTGCCTTTTCCATTGCTAAAGGAGTCTTCAGATCTGGAATGTATGCCTCCGAATCAGAATTCAATTTGTCATGATTATGCCTTTGTGCATCCATTGCACTCTCAAACTGCATGAAAAATTCAACTAAACTAAAGTGTGGGTTAGTAAATTCCCGAAAGAAGGAATTCTCACTCTCAGAGCGCGAGGTGGTATGAAGCAAACCGGCCATAAAGGTATCTCTAAAATAAGAGGGAATCCACCATCTACGCAACTCAAACATGTGACAAAACCAATCATGCGCTGTCAAGTCATACTCTTCCATGAGTGATGTCCACTTATCTTCAAACTGGGTTGTGTCAAGATAATGGCTCCACACAATTGAATTCAGTGATGACATAAAAGCTTCATTATTACTTAAGATCGGACCTACCTTCTGTGTCACTTTTGACATAATGTGCCACATACAGTACCGATGTTTGGAAGCTGAAAATACCTTCTCAATTGCAATGCGCATAGCTGGGTCTTGGTCTGTAATAATGCATGTTGGTTCACGTCCCATTGCATGCATGAAGCGTGTGAAAAGCCAAGTGTAGGAATCGACATCCTCCTTGGCTAACAAACCGGCGCCAAACGTAATGCACTTTCTGTGATTGTCAACGCCTGTGAAAGGACCAAATACCATATTGTACCTGCCAATATAACAAATACGATGTACAAATCAGAATCCAAATAATAGGTGCATAATGCAGTTATGACAGATGCAAAGAACATATGGTCAAGGTGCACATAATTTAAATAATTAAATAAAATTGAAACAATTAGTCACGAATTGAAGTAAACAAACACCTATTTGTTCCATACATAGCATCAAATGAAACAACATCACCAAACAATGCATAGTTCTTGCGACAAATGGGATCCGCCCAAAACAATCTTGTGAGCTGGTCATCTTCATCAACATCATAATCAAAGAAAAAAGCAGAGCACACTTCTTGTTTCCTGAATAACTTATCGATGACCATTTGGGCATCGACTCCAGATATGTAGGCCATAAGGTCGCGCTTAAAGTTCTTAAAATCCACAGCAGTCGCGCCAATGCTAGAATAACCCCCTACAGTCTCCTTATACAATCTATATGATTTCTTTGTACCAATATTTGCTCTGAAACAATTGAGAACAAACTTTTGATGACCGAGATCTAAATTCCTATTAACTCTTAGGAATTGTTTTGACTGTTCAGAACACATGGAATGATTGTGACGCTCCTCAAACGCAAATACAGAGAAACCATCATTACCAGCAAATTTTAGAGTTAAAAGTGCTTTGCATCCAACTCTATTTGACACACGTTTTCTATTCTGCTTACTACCTTTGGATGTAGAAGCACCATTATTGACGACAGCGGGGACAGTGGGGACAGCGGGGACATCGGGGACAACGGGGACAACGGGAACAGCGGGGACAACAGTACTACGACCATTATTCTTATACCCCGCTCTACTACATATCAAATACTTCAACATAGGGTGACCATCCTTGGCCTTCGATAATGTATGCGAACGAACCGTGAAACCCACTTCAGCTGCATATGCTTTGTAAAAATCAATGCCGGCTTGTAGATCAGGAAAGAGCATGCCAACAAAGGGTTTCTTATCTGGTTGACAGTCAGGAGTCCAATACTTTGTACAACCGGGAGAAATTTCTAAATTACATTTCACACCTATATAAAGAAAAATAGAAAATCAATTAAAAATTTGGAGATTAAAAAATAAAAATAAAAACAGATAACAATAAACCTCTTTAAAATTCGAACTGCACCATGATTAAAGTATTCTTGCATTTAAGCTACGAAGTGTGACTAGGAGAAAAATATGAAAAAATCAAACTATGTTTGAAAGCAAGCAATGTAAACGTACTACAGTGAATCCTCGTGCATGCAAAACGCAAGCCATAAACAACAACCATGAATTTCACAGAAGTATAATACGACAGTAGAATTGTTAATTATTTTATTCATTTTAAATAAATAGCACTTCAGCATCTCCAACTTAGACGTTAAATGTTAATTCGGATTTTCTTTAGTCAAACAAAGTTCGTTTGCAATTTGCTGGTATTAAAAATGTTTTAAGATTTCTTTTTTGTATTCAAACAAAGATAATAGAACCGAACCTGATTCGGATTCTACCGCGTTTGATGACATCCTGACCTTTCAACGACACAAGAATGGAAGCAGCAGTGAAGCGCAGGTCTGAGTCGAGCAGGAATGTGGTGTTGATCGCAAATATGGAAACAGAGTATTAAGGAAAGAGAGTTGGGACGTGATTGTATTTCCATGTTTAGACCGATATGCGATGCCCCAAAACACCCTCACGTACGCGGCTGAAATTAAAACCTGCGCACAAAAAAAGGCTTAGATAGACGGTTATGATCACTTTGTATTTTGTAAATTAAGTTGACTTTGTATATGATCCCAAATCTATATATATATATATATATATATATATATATATATATATATCCCTATATATAGGGGTTAGCTCCTGTAAGAACACCCTCTTAGGAGAGGAAAAAAGATTCAAATCAAACCATTGATTAACCTTTAATAGTTCTAATCCGATGGTCTAGAAATATTTAAAAAAGGAGAAAATGGTGCATTATTTTCGGATGATTTGAGTAGTATATAAGGTAACGTGCATTTTAACATTTAATAAAGGGCATAATGGTAAAGTTAATCCAAGTTGTTATCTTACACGTACACCATTATAGGAAGACTTCCTAAAAATTAGGCTAAAAATAACTCCCAATTACTCTAATAAATAGTTCATATTATTTAATCTTCTTTCCAAGTTTATTATTCTCTCACATAATTTAGATACCCAATTTAAAAATAAATGTAAGCAATTCAAAATTATTTTTCATGATTCACCTATTTCTTTTTAGATGCAATATTCAATCAATAAATATTGCACTCAACAGTCGAATATATGCACTTTTTACTCAAACTTATGTTGCATGCAACATCAATTTAATTAAATATTTGAATTTGTTACACATATAGTAATCTAAATCATCAGGACCACTCACGAATGGAACTTAACACTGTGAAGATAAACTTATTTTTTATCAAATAATTTTCACTCTTACATATCACACATTTTTATACGATCAGTCTGCACTTTTCATAATGTTATCCTGCACTTTACACAGGTAGATTTTCACTTTTATACATTTTTTAACCAATATGATTTTCAATGAAATGAAAAATAAAGATATAAACATATGACTTAACAATAATCATGTGCATTTGAAATAAACACAAAAGTGCACTATCATATAATAGTTTATTAATTGCACTTTTCAGACAAAATGAAACACATGTTTGTCATGTGCATTCTAAATACAAAAAAATGTGCAATACAATACTATATCACATTCTCAATTTTTACATTGACATTTTTAGCAAAATGATATGCACTTTCATTGCTTCTCTTATACTGGTACAAATTTACATTCACATTTTTGTTCAAAATACAATGCACTTGTTTCACTTTTGTGGTACTCCATTAATATCCTCTGATTGTAGATTCACATGCTCTAATCCATTTTCATATTTTCCTCTCCTATCATCTGCATAATTTTATATAAATATATATATATATATATATATATATATATATATATATATATATATATATATATATATATATGGAGTACCACAAAAGTGAAACAAGTGCATTGTATTTTGAACAAAAATGTGAATGTAAATTTGTACCAGTATAAGAGAAGCAATGAAAGTGCATATCATTTTGCTAAAAATGTCAATGTAAAAATTGAGAATGTGATATAGTATTGTATTGCACATTTGTTTGTATTTAGAATGCACATGACAAACATGTGTTTCATTTTGTCTGAAAAGTGCAATTAATAAACTATTATATGATAGTGCACTTTTGTGTTTATTTCAAATGCACATGATTATTGTTAAGTCATATGTTTATATCTTTATTTTTCATTTCATTGAAAATCATATTGGTTAAAAATGTATAAAAGTGAAAATCTACCTGTGTAAAGTGCAGGATAACATTATGAAAAGTGCAGACTGATCGTATAAAAATGTGTGATATGTAAGAGTGAAAATTATTTGATAAAAAATAAGTTTATCTTCACAGTGTTAAGTTCCATTCGTGAGTGGTCCTGATGATTTAGATTACTATATGTGTAACAAATTCAAATATTTAATTAAATTGATGTTGCATGCAACATAAGTTTGAGTAAAAAGTGCATATATTCGACTGTTGAGTGCAATATTTATTGATTGAATATTGCATCTAAAAAGAAATAGGTGAATCATGAAAAATAATTTTGAATTGCTTACATTTATTTTTAAATTGGGTATCTAAATTATGTGAGAGAATAATAAACTTGGAAAGAAGATTAAATAATATGAACTATTTATTAGAGTAATTGGGAGTTATTTTTAGCCTAATTTTTAGGAAGTCTTCCTATAATGGTGTACGTGTAAGATAACAACTTGGATTAACTTTACCATTATGCCCTTTAGTAAATGTTAAAATGCACGTTACCTTATATACTACTCAAATCATCCGAAAATAATGCACCATTTTCTCCTTTTTTAAATATTTCTAGACCATCGGATTAGAACTATTAAAGGTTAATCAATGGTTTGATTTGAATCTTTTTTCCTCTCCTAAGAGGGTGTTCTCACAGGAGCTAACCCCATATATATATATATATATATATATATATGTGTGTGTGTGTGTGTGTGTGTGTGTGTGTGTGTATGTATAGTCACTTCTTTGAAATGAGCTTCAATTTAGTCGTGAAAAATCAATTTAATATGACGACGTTGCGACGAATGCAAAAAGCATCCACAAGTATGAATCAATTTTTTTCCACACCGCAAGTATTTGCACGTATCAACATTTTTATGCTTCACGAATAGATTGTCAACAAAGTCTAATGTGTTAGCCATTCCTTAGGATTGATTTCACTGTGGCAAAAAAAAATATCTGAAACACTACTAACTATTATTTCAGAGCAAAAAATCTGATAGTATAGTTTATTTGTTATTTACTTATACTTATATTTTGTCAATGTGAAACTTTTGAGATGTCATGTAATATATTGTTCTTTGATTTGATGTTGACCTTTTTGAATGAGAACTTTTGTTGAAAGATTTTTTTTTTCTTTTTAGATACTAAGAGATAATCCTTAAGTCCCTCCATCGCATAAAATTCTTCTCAATTTGACTTGGATAGGAGATTAAGAAAGTATGAATAAAGTCAACTTTTCAAAAAAGATATAAGTTGGACCTGTCAAAAGAAAGTAAGAAAATTTTCTCAATTTGACTTGGATTTGTATGGTTGTGGTTGAGTAAAAAAGATAAAAGGAATGCTACCAACACAAAACGTTTCAAAAATGGAAATGAGAAGAATTTTTTGGACATTTCAAAATGATAAGTTGGACAAATTTTAAGTGACGGATGAATGTTACTGACATTTTTATCCTTGTATATCTATATATTACATATCAAATGAGAACCATGCTTGACATGAAAGCGTGAGAACACACACGTTTACCCAATATGATGCACAATAAGACTCACTAGTTGTACTTATTCGTTTTAAGAGTAATATTTACAAAAATACAACCACGATTATTTAATATTGAGTTGGTATCAGCAAAAGTTAAAAAGCGTCTCAGATGGTCTCCATTGTGCACCACATTGACTTAAATGCAAGTGTTCTCGCGTTCTCACATTAGGCACCGTTCTCAATGCAATTGAATCATATATATATATTCACTTCTTTGAAATGAGCTTCAATTTAGTCGGGAAAAATGAATGTATGTTGGGCTGCGGGTATGCGGTGCCAGCAACAGCCAGCCTGTCGGTGCAATCGAACCGCGTGGCGCTTCGCATGTGCTATAAAGGGAGAGGAGCGTGCTACACTATCAGCGATTGCTTTTAGTGTAGCAGTAAGCGCAACGATCCACAAGTGGTATCAGAGCCAAGGTCACGGGTTCGAGCCCCGGCAACAGCATGCTGCGCAGTTGTAGGTTGGCAGGTGCTGGGGGGGGAGATTGTTGGGCCGCGGGTATGCGGTGTGATAAGTCCGTATTTTGACACGTATTTGATGCGTGTTGAGATCGGCTTTTGATGATTTTCCTAGTTTTAAGGTGTTACAAGTCTCAATTTTAGCTCAAGTTATGTTTACCGGGCGTTGGTTCGAGTTTTGTGTTGTTTGTAGTCAAAATCAGGGAATTTGAGTCCGGCACCGGCACTTGAGGAACAATCGGGATGATTTGAGAAGCATTTGAGAATGATTTGATGGCTTTGGAGGTCACCGGAAGATTCACGATGAAGATTTGAAGGAAAAAAGAGCTCTAGGATTGGCTTCGGGATCAAAAGAAGACGAATGAAGCTTGAAAACGACAATCAGGATGACCTTCTGTCAATCGTTCAAGCATATCTCTTTGAAGAAACATCCAATGTACACGATTCAAGTTCCATAGGAAAGCCAACTTCAAGGGCTACAAATCATATGAAGACATCTTTGCGAGAATCTGAGAGGAAGAAGGTGAAAACAGACAATGAAGTCAGATGATCTCTGCTGCGATTTCAGAAGGACACCTTCCCCCGTTTTGATCATATCTCTTGATTGGATGATTCAAATCACATTCGGCAAATTTGGGTGGATAGAGGACTTCATTATCTACAACTTTCATGAAGAAAGCATTGCCAAATTCGGAAGTTAAGTAGGCACGATCGTGCCCTCAAAGTCAGACACGATCGTGCGTGAAGAGAAAACACGGAGGAGTTACTGCCAGCCAGGCACGATCGTGCCTGGAGGGAGGCACGATCGTGCCTGCCCAAAATGCGCGTTTTTGCTCCGGAGGCACGATCGAAGGCACGATCGTGCCTGGCATCGTGTCTGGCTCCGAAAATCCTAATTCAGCTCAAATTTCACCTGATTTTTCTATTTAAACAGCCTGTAAACCCCCGTTTTCGAGGGGGGGGAGCTTAGAGAGAGTGCCTAGCACGAATTTTAGAGGGCTTTTCAGCCTTGTTCATCAATCTTTTGGGATTCTTTGTAAGTTCCACCTTTCTAATTAATGACAATTAATTCTTTTTATTCCAATTCTATTGATTCTTCAATTATGAATTGTGAGTAGTTTTAATTAGGGATTTGGGATTGATGAAGGGGTTAATCATGATGTATGGCTAGATTCTTTTCGGTTTAATTGCATGAATGTCGTT